TGTCTCTGTCTTTTTGTCTCTCACACAAATACACACACAAATACACACACACACACCAGAAAACACGCAGGACAATAATGGTAAATATTGTGTGATGGATGCTAGTGGTTAACCAAACACTAGTTCCAGCAGAGAACGTTTGGCTTTGTGCCGTGGTAATGACATTGTCTTTGGGGTGTGGTTGGCTAGATCAAAGATTTACTCCATGTGCCAAGTCTTCAACAAGAAATGATGGCTGCCCCCCCTGTATACCTATTATTGATCATTTCAAGCATAATAATCTTGTATGTATAATCTTATTTATATACTATTATATGTATCTGGTCGTTGTCAATTCACTTACTATAAGTTATACACAGAATGCATGAATGATGAAGAGAGAATGAGTGTGTTGTAACCAAACAGTGAATGCTATTTAACCCAAGAGCCATTCCAACAGCAGCTTAGCTCCTGGCAGGGTCACCCTTAAGCTTATTTATGCATGGTCACTCAGTGGTCCCAACAGCTGTTTCTTAAGAAATTATACTATGTCGCAACAAGCTCCCAAATGGACAAAATAATTAAGCAGAGTCATAGCACAATAACTTTTTCTACCCTGCAGATTCCGTTTATTTATGTTTTCATAAAGGTGTCATACAAATAACTTCATCTGACAGCGTCGTTTGGCTTGGGGTGGCAGTAGTTCCATCGTAATAAACTATCCAGTTCCACTGTATGAAACAGTGATAGACTGGACAGTTGGTTGATTAATCTGGGTCATATCTGACATTCTGAGATAACCGGCATCGAGTCGAACCTCGGATCAAAGAGGAACAATGCGGTTTTCGTCCTGGTCGTGGAACAATGGACCAGCTCTTTACTCTCACAAAGATCCTGGAGTGGGCTTGGGAGTATGCCCATCAAGTCGGACTCTTTCCAAGTGAGGGTTGGCCTTCGCCAGGGCTGCGCTTTGTCACCAATCCTGTTTGTGATATTCATGGACAGGATTTCAAGGCGTAGTCGTGGTGGGGAGGGGTTGCGCTTCGGTGGGCTTGGGATCTCGTCAATGCTTTTTACAGATGATGTGGTCCTGATGGCATCATTGGTCCATGACCTTCAGCTCTCACTGTATCGGTTCACAGCAGAATGTGAAGCGGTTGGGATGAGGATTAGCACCTCTAAATCTAAGGCCATTGTTCTCAGCAGGAAACCAGTGGAGTGCCAACTCCAGGTAGGGAAAGTCCTTACCCCAAGTGAAGGAGTTCAAGTACCTCGGGGTCTTGTTCATTACCGAAAGAACGAGATCGCGGGTACAAGCAGCCGGAATGGGTTTCCTCAGGTGGGTGGTTGGTGTCTCCCTTAGAGATAGGGTGAGAAGCTCAGAGTAGAGCTGCTGATAACTTTGCGTCTAAAGGAGCCAGCTGAGGTGGTTTGGGCCTCTGGTAAGGATGCCGCCTGGATGCCTCCCTAGGGAGGTGTTTCAGGCACTTCCAGCTGGGAGGAGGCCACAGGGAAGACCCAGGACTAGGTACAGAGAACGCCTCGGGATCCCCCAGTCAGAGCTGGTTAATGTTCGTTCTGACTGTTAGGAGTGTGGTTTTGTGTTCATGTCTTTCCTGTTTAAGTCCGTTTTTGGTTCTGTGTTTCTCTGTGTAGTCTTGTTTAGTTGTGTTTTCCTGATCTGTGTACTTCTGTGTTTTATCATTATGGTCTGTGTCCCTGTGGTTGATTACCTGATATATTTCAGCTGTTCTTCCCTCCCTGCTCGTTTAGCAGTGTATATATTGTCCTCAGTTGTCTTCAGTCCTTGTCACGTCCTTGTGTCTATGTTGAGTGTTCTGCCTGGTGCTCTGTTCCCTGAATTTCTGGTTTGTTCCCCTGTTTTGGATTACTCTGTCTTTGTGTTGGATTTACCTTCTTCTGGATTACCTTTGTTTGGACTTTTGCTCCGAGCTTCCACCTAAGCCTGTTTAGTTATTTGAATAAACTTTATTTTGAACTGCATCCTCCTCTCGCCTCGCTGTTGTCTGCATTTGGGTCCACACTCCTCAGTTCTCTGCCACTTCACTGAGCCAACCCATGACACTGACATCTACAGCATAATCTATTTCTCATTAAATAATTCCCATTAAATTCCATTTAAAACAACACTTAACTGGATAAGACAAAAATACATATTAGATTGTACTTTGCATAGAATACTAGAATTATTTCTTTTTTTTGATATCAGCATTATATATCGGATATCGGCTGCCCTGCTCTCTAAATATCTGTATCAGTTCCCTAGGGCTCGCCACCATCTACAACAGGCAAGTGGAAGCATTTCTCTGCTTTCAATTGCTGAGTCAGAGCTAGCTTGTAGATGTCAAGCTCTTCCAACAAAGATAACCGATATAGACATTCCATACATTACCGTGATTTCAGAAAAATGGGTGCTGATCTGATACGATAAGAGCAAGTAAAAAAACTACAGTACACTGTTCACTCACACCAGTATTTAATTCTGTAGACCGGTCTGTTCTCTTGAAATCTGCTGTCCCCCAAAAAACTACTATATCCTTATACACTGCCAGACTAAATTTATACTTTTTTATATATATATTACAGATGACAGTCATATAAAAGTCGCCAAGCAATTTATTACCCCACCAGATTCTAAGTCCCTTTCAAGGGCATTATGTGAGTCAAAGCCAAGGTGCTCTTGGCAGACTACATTGCTCAGAAAAATAATAAGTTACATAAGTAACTAAGCAGCTCTGAGGCATCAACTTTGGTTCTCTTGGTTGTTATCACATCAAATGTCTTTAGGCCTTTCACATCCCTTTCCACCAAAGTCACCCAGGAAACTCAAACCCCTTGTGTAAACAGACTGAGACAACTAGAACAAAGTACTCTACATAGGGAATGTGATCCAGATGCCTGAAAAATGACACTTTGACTGACTCCTGGTTGGAAACAAGGGCGATTGTCTGTAAAAACAGCAATTAAAATACCAGATGCGAGACATCACTGAAAGTGCCTTCAAAATAGGTAACATCTTCAATAACTTTGTTTTGCTACTGATCAGCCACTGTGGTGTTTTGTAAGTTGCTCTAAAGTGGCCACATTTAAACTAGATCCATGAACAAAGGCAAGCATACTGCCTGGTATTCATCTCCAGAACCAATCCTCACATGCTTCATCTGTGGCATGAGCCTCCAGGACAGTCGCTGTGGCCACATGCATGCAATTGCACAATTTCTTAGGAGAATTGCCTGAACGAGAATCTCAACTCAGTTATCTGAGGGCGTGTTATGTTATCTTTGTTTTCTGAGGGACTACTACAAGCAAACACGTGTGCACAATCGTGTGCATTTTGTTCAAGCAGGGTTTTTTTTTGTTTTATGTGCATATGCTTGAAACTACAAGGACACAGTGTAATCAAAGTTAGTCTGGAGTTGAAAAGTGGGCATTTGATGCTGCTGACATTTAGTTCCACCATAGTAACATGCACTACATGTTACTATTGTGGAAAACTAAATGTCAGTGATTACATCAACATGTATTGATGTTGGTGAAGGGAATGGGCTTTGAGGACACAATTTTTAATGCAACTGTGTACCTACAAGCTTTGCAACTCACGTTTTACTGGATAGATGACAAAGTGTGTGAGAACCCACAAGAATTTTGTGTTTTGATAACCTTTGTTTGCATATTCTTCACACGTGCACATGCACTTGTGTGTTCACATAGAGCGTACAGTCAGTGGCCTTGTGATGAGGTGATCTCATCACATATGACCCTTGGGGAACAGTGTGTTATTCACAGTAAAAGTGGGTTTTGTATGAACAGCGTGTCCTTCACAGCAGAAATCCTTTCTTTATGGTTATATGGACATTTCCCACTGGTGTCTCGTTCCCTCTCCATCTGCAGTGTTGTTGGGTGGAACACACCATTTTTTAGCTCAGACAGAAGTGATGCGATGACATTATCAAATGCATTAAATGGTTATGATAAATCTCCTGCCTTTGTCTGCATAAATCCTTGCCAAAGTGTTCTTGAGCAAGGCACCTGAGCACAGCTGTTTGAGAATACCTACTTCTTTGGACTTGTAAAATGCATCATCAGCAGTGGGAACAAGCCCTACAGCCAACATCATACACTTCCAACATTACGCACATGCCTCAGAAGAGAGAACGCTGTCAGTGTAGAGGTGTGAGGCTCAACAGTTTCAACACAAAGTATCTCCTTTGTAGGCTTAAAATATTTACGAGCATACACTGCAAATTGATGTCACTCTTAACATCAAAACAAGACACGGCAGGATGTTTGGTTTAACATTTGGTTTGAATAACAACTACCCTGACAGCTATTGAGAAACCAAACAATAATGAAATTCAAATAATAAATAGGATTTTAAAGGAGATAGTGCAGTTCAACAACATGCCTTAGCTTTGACCATCTATATTAGGGAGAGGGGATTAGATAGGCTTGAGCCTAATTCACTTCCATGTGTCTGAAGCTTTGTGTGTGTGTGTGTGTGTGTGTGTGTGTGTGTGTGTGCATGAATGTATGCCTCACCCTAATGTTTTGGGCAATCAGCCCCTCTTTGCGTTGCGACAGCAACAGATCAATGCTTCCACCGGGCTTAGGTGGAATCAATAGCTTCTTCACTCGTCTTCAATAAGCATTACTTTAATGAGAACGTCTGCACCCACCCTGGGAGACATCTAATTAAATGCCCCAATCTCTAAAATTACTTAACTGGTAAACAAACAAAAGAAGTTGTTTTGGAAGTGTGTCGCAAAAAATGTTGAGAGCAACTATTATGTGTAATAATCACAGGGATAAAAGCATAGTCTCAACAAATAACTATCTATCTATCTCAATAGAGATAGATAGATAGATAGATAGATAGATAGATAGATAGATAGATAGATAGATAGATAGATAGATAGATAGATAGAGATAGATAGATAGATAGATAGATAGATAGATAGATAGATAGATAGATAGATGTACAGGACAAACTGTGGCCTTACCTTAGTAACAGCAGGGTATCCAGCAGCCACCTCACCAGAGCAGTAGGGCTTCTCCTCATGGGAAACTTCGACAGTGGAGGCCCACTGGTCAAGGAAACCACTGGGGGTGTAGAGGCCACAGTCTCTGACGCCCGTCTCTCGCTCAAAGTCCTCACACACACCATCACCATCATAGTAGTAACACATGCTTGGCTCCTCTGTAAGTGAACAGACAGCAAAAAGTTGTTATTTCAAAAGAAAATCCATATCTCTGTTTTACTTGTATAGTACAAATTACTTTTTCTGTCTAGTGAGGATTTAAGACAGCTACAATATCAGTCGGTGAGATTCTACATATCCCCTCTCACCCCCCACTCTTCCTTGTCTGGCATGTTTTCATTTGCACAAAGTTGTACAGCTTTCACACACTTTACCATTTGCTCCCCTTAACTCATCCATTTTTTACAGAGCATGTATTGCCCCCCATTTCTAGCCATATCTGTATTATTTTGGAAGGTGAAGAGGGAGAGGATCAGAGAAGGAAGGGGGAGACAGGTAAGTAAAGTAAATTCTTGAGTGTGTGAGGATCTACAAACTAAGATGAAAGAATGTGTTAATGTCAGGAAGAAATAGATAAAAAGAAAGAATGAAAGTGAGAGAGCAATAAAATGAGAGCGAGAGACAATACACAGAGAAGATGGGATTAGGGGGGGACCAGACAAAGTCAAGAGGTAAAGAAAAATACAGCTGTAATTTTTACAGACGTCCCACCCGGACTTAAGTTTTGGAACTGGAAGCTTATGGACTGGGGGAGAGGGAAACAGAGCAGGGAGGTTGCCTGGGCCTCATTGCTCTCAGCTCTCAGCTAAAGCAGTGTCAGCCAGTGGGGTTCCAGTTAGGGGGAAAGGCGGCATTCTGTGCCAAGTTGGCCGGGGCCTCCTCCTCGAAATTCCAGCCCTCTCCAGCACAGCCAAAAAGCTCAAGTCAATTCTGTGCTCTGGCAATGGTGAAACGAGGGGCTACTGAGGGGGCATACAGAATACACTCCCGCCACTCACTCAGCAGGAAACAGAAGCAAGGAAGAAGGGAAGGAGTGAGACTGAGACAGGGGAAAGATCAAACAGTGGCAATGGGTAGAGTGTGAGCTAAAGAGAGAAAAAGATGGAAAAAGAAAGAGTATGGCTACAGTATTTGAATTTGGACAGGGATAGAATAAACAGATAAGGTGATAGAGTGCAAGAGCAAAAAGATGAGAGCTCTAGAGTTGGAGAAAGAGAGAGAGAGTGATGAGATGAGCCAAGATGGATTGAGACAGAGAAAGGAATGGTCCGTAGGCTGTCTAACAAACTCCAAAGTCTGTCTTTCTTATTGCTGGCAAATCTGACCTTCCAAAACCATTTGTGATAGCAGAAATCTGGGACCACAGCTTAGGACAATCAGACCTATTAAGATAGCCAATGGGATTTTAACACCAGGTGGGGTCAATTGAGAAGAACTTGTCGATTTTGTCAATTCCAGATAAAATTTGGCTCAGTCGTGAAAGACTGTAGCACCCTGGGCCTGTTGTATACTGTCTTTCAAAATCCTTTCTCTATACTGACAAACAGGCACTCTCTGACATATACAGACAGATGGACAGAAAGTCCCATCATTATAGTGTCAGATTTCAGTGCAAAACTACAACTATGGCAGACAGTGTTGGACACACGCACACACACTTATGCACACCCTTGAGCACTGTAGTTGGTGGAAAAACAGCCAATGCAGTCATCCAGCAATCTGGGATTAAATGGACACTTCACAGAGACTCACATGTGCGTGCACGAATGCATGCTTGTATTGTACATGCAGAAACACACGCACACACACAACGGGGGGGGCAAAATGATTGTCAGACAGCAGGAGAACTGGACAGGAAACCATCCATCTATTCATAAAACACAACAACGTAGGAGATGCCAGTCACTCAACTATGTAATATAATGTATGACTCACCCTTTTAAAAAATAATTATTTCCAGATTATTATTTTTAACAGGAGGTCAAAGTGTTTATGATATCTAATGGCATTTTCATTCTATTGTGAAAGGAATGAAGTAGTTGGATAAAAGATGCCCAGATGTCAAATCTGTTCATTCACAAAGTAAGCCTGTGGGTCTCATCGATAACTTTGCAGCCTTTCTATTTTGTGATATCATACAAAAAAAACGCATTGCATTCAAATCTAAACACACAATAATATCATGCCACAGAAGAACACAGGAATGAAATGGTATGTAGGAAACAGGTGGTCAAATCTTAAGTTTATAAAGGTTGCATGCAACTATGAAAATGTTATTTAAAAGGTCCCCTTTAGCCAGTAAAATATGTTTGGACACTTAGCAGTCAGTTTTATTAAAATAATTGGCATACTTTATGTAAATGTCACAATTTTAAAAGTGTGCTAAATACAGTATGTAATATAATGTAATGGTTGTTCTTTCTTAAATTTTTTTTAAAATAACTTTTCTTTACACAATAAATCAATTAAAATAAAATAATAAATAAATAAAAATAAAATAATCTTTAATTAGTTTTATCTTTTACCGATATATATTACAACCACATCCAATCCTTACAGTACGGTGGCTCCCAGGGCTCAGTGAGGAATATTTCTTTGAGGACTACTTTGCGTTACCTCACAATACTTTTGCGTTACCTCGCAATACCTTGCCATAGCAGCATGAACATTTAGCCTATAGGCTAGTGAGTGGACAGGATTGCATAATGTAGCCTCCATATGAAGTCTGACATGTAGGAAACAGTGTCCATCCACTTTGACTGTTTAAGCACCAAGCATCACCGATGTAAACACAGAATCAGCTTCCTCTCATCTCGGCGGAGCCTTGCGCTCTGACAGAACACAGTGTGCCCGCTGCATGCTCCAGGACATTGATGGGGCAGGTCTGTGTAAAGATGTCGGCTTAACAGTCTTCAATTTTCCGGTGTTTGGCAGCATGAGTCCCATCTCCTCCAGACCAGACATTTACCTGGAGCAGCCTTACGTCCAAGCTGGGCCAGCATGGCTCTATCCCGGCTGTCTTCCCTCTCCTCTGGAGCGATCACCCGCCGTGGTGCCTGGTCCTTTTTGATTAAAGCCTACATAAATATGCCTATTGAGCAGTAGCAGGCTACTATATAAACATAGGAAATTCTCCGTTCAAAGTAAAATTCAATAAGCTGGAGTGTTGCGCTGAGAGCAACTGAGCATATGGCTCGGAAGTAGGCTAACGGAGGAAGACAGGTATTGAGAGGGAACACAAAACATATTGCGAGGTAACACAAAAGTATTGCGAGGGAATGCAAAACATATTGCGAAGGAATGCAAAAGTATTGCGAGGTAACGCAAAGTAGTCCTCAAAAAAAAATTCATAGTCCTCAAATAAATATTCCTCACTGAGCCCTGGGAGCCACCGTAAATCCTAACAACTGATGGCACTGGAGCATATATGCTTGAGAATTCAGGGGTTAAATACCTTGATCAAAGTTGCACTGAAGGTTAAATTAACTCTCTTCTATTTCCAGTACTTTTCACAACAGCAGTCAAGAGAGATGAACCAGTGACTGCAAGCAATTCCTGTTACAACCCTAACAATACCTTTGTCCATATGACTTACCAACACAGTTGAAGAAGGACTCTTTCTTGCACTGGCTGGAGCAGCCATCCCCATTCATAGAGTTCATGTCATCACATTCTTCTCCTTTGGAACTAAAATAGCAAAGGGCGATACTGAGAAAACATCTACACACACACACACACACACACACACACACACACACACACACACTGCCAAACTAATAAATACAAAATGAAACATATAGGAGTAAAGATTTCTTTTTTATATTAAAATGCTTCTTTGCACATCTGTATGCATGCATTTTAGTATATATATTTAGATCATGAGTGTGTGTGCATGTTACCTCTGGATGCGTCCATCCCCGCAGTAAGGTGCCCCCAGCTCGTGCTCCAGAGGTGGGGAGGGCTCACTCTCACTCCAGCCAGAGATAGTCTGGACCTGGTAGGTGTACATAACATGTGGCAGCACATCCCTGCACAAAGAGAGGCAAAAATCACTGCAAATTGTCCATAAATTGCAAACTGTCCAAAAATTTGGTTTAATGTGAAGCCTTGGAGAAATGTCTAATAAATTAAAAGGAATAAGAATAATAGCTCGTACACTGAGAAAGCGACTCGGACCAGGCCTGTGGAGAACGGGTCGATAGGATTTGTGTGTGTGATATAGCAATATTTCAGCAACTAAAGTATTAGAGCCAACGCAAGTGAAAACATTTGTCTCTTCCACACATATACCTATCCAATCCAAACGCTTATATGGCTGTGTTTGCCCGCTTTGGGTCCAGCTTTCATTTGTTCCCTTATAGTGATTCAAGGAACCATCGTGATGAATACACATTGGACAGGAGAAATATTGGGGGACTACTCACTTGGCCGGTGTAAGTCGTCATGATGGTTTCTTGAGTCACCATGATAAGGAAGTCTGAAAAAAAAGTCTGAAAGGAAAAAACGTAAATGAGAAAACCAAAACCATAAATGAAAAAATCAAAGCTGTAAATGAGAAACCAAAGCAACAAAACAAAACTCAAAGAAAGGAAACTGTATATGAGAAACAACAAAAGCGCAAGTGAGAGTGCCTGTTTTTATTATTGTGTTATGCTCACTTTTTCTCTCTGATCTGTTGTTTGCCTTTACATGTTTACTTGCGTTACCATCAGGTTTAATAATTTCTGTTGAATTCTGGCCCTGTTTTTCTTCAGGCAGCCTTACTGATTTCTGTAATGTCATGGGTCTCTTCAGAATCATCAAAAAAGTCTTCTGCTTTAATTGCTCAGACTAAAAAGATGCAAGTAGCCTGTTTTATTAATCCACAGTACGTACTGTTTCATGTTAACAACTTTCTCAACAGGAAACTAAGCTAATAATAAAAAAAAATTAAACATGTAAAGGCAAGCAAAGAATCTAAAGCGTTTATGTATTCACCTCTTTTGACTATCATAGACAATAAAAACAGGATAACTGATTTTCATTTCAGCACTCTCATTTGCAACTGAATTGTTTACAGTTTTCTTTCCGTTTTGACTTTTTTCCCCCTTGTGCTTATAGTTTTGGTTTCTCATTTCTAGTTTTGATTTGTCGCTTTTGGTCATGTTTTCTCCTTCATGGTTTTCTTTTTTGGCTTTCAGAGTTTTTGACCCTACATTTTGTGTGTGTGTGTGTGTGTGTGTGTGTGTGTGTGTGTGTGTGTGTGTGTGTGTGTAAACAAGACCTATGGTTTTTTTTTTTGTGAATTCTATATTATATCCATTGAATGTTGTCTGAAAATTGTCCTGAACACACCACAGCCTCATTTTGTGTGAATGGCAGGCAGTGGCTATTTTATATTACAAAGCAGAATCCCGTTGGCTTCCTTATTACTGTTTATTGCAATAATATTTGTTATATTTTGGCTTATGCTGGAAAAAATATACATGGCTCCCAAGGCTCAGTAAGGAATATTTTTTTTGAGGACTACTTTGTGTTACCTCGCAATACTTTTGCATTCCCTCGCAATACTTTTGTGTTACCTCGCAATATGTTTTGCGTTCCCTCTCAATACCTGTCTTCTTCTGTTAGCCTACTTCCGAGCCATATGCGCAGCTGCTCTCAGTGCAACACTCCAGCTTATTGAATTTTACTTTGAACGGAGAATTTCCATTGTTTATATAGTAGCCTGCTACTGCTCAATAGGCATATTTATGTAGGCTTTAATGAAAAAGGACCAGGCACCATGGCGGGTGATCGCTCCAGAGGAGAGGGAAGACAGCCGGGATAGAGCCATGCTGGCCCAGCTTGGACGTAAGGCTGCTCCCGGTAAATTGAAGACTGTTAAGCCGACATCTTTACACAGACCTGCCCCATCAATGTCCTGGAGCATGCAGCGGGCACACCGTGTTCTGTCAGAGCGCAAGGCTCCGCCGAGATGAGAGGAAGCTGATTCTGTGTTTACATCGGTGATGCTTGGTGCTTAAACAGTCAAAGTGGATGGACACTGTTTCCTACATGTCAGACTTCATATGGAGGCTACATATCTCACATTATGCAATCCTGTCCACTCACTAGCCTATAGGCTAAATGTTCATGCTGCTACGGCACTTCCACACTGTTTACATAGCCGACTGTTATTAGGCTGCTCCCGCTACTGGCTTATATTTCAGAAGCTTGTAACCATCAGGGCTCCGCTAATGTTAAGAAGCCTACTTCTGATGCTGCTTAAATAGGTTAGAAATAGGCTATACAGGTGAACATACTTCAGATTTGGGGTTGCACTATTAGGCTACGCACTTTATAATGCTCCAGCCCTGCATGCCATTCTCACTCCCCTAACAGTATACAGATCAGCTGTCTCGTCTAGTGTCATACTGTAAATTACCCTCTTATTTGTGCAGGCCTGACTAATAGTGAAAAGCTCATTAAATAACCTACTGAAGATGCATTAAAAATCACAAATGATTCAAAGTAATTTTGGTTTAATGACTGCTGCATTAAACAATAAATGCCATTCTTTCTTTTGGCTGGCCAACATGTCTATTTTTTGTTTTGTGTCTTGTAAGTTGAATAGGCTATTGTGACTGTTTTTAGCACATTGGACCACATGAAATGGCATTTCGTTATTATTTGGTATGTGGATCAAGACCTTGCAACTCACATTATGCAATACTGTCCACTCACTAGCCTATAGGCTAAATGTTCATGCTGCTATGGCAAGGTATTGCGAGGGAACGCAAAACATATTGCGAGGTAACGCAAAAGTATTGCGAGGGAATGCAAAAGTATTGCGAGGGAACGCAAAAGTATTGCGAGGGAATGCAAAAGTATTGCGAGGGAACGCAAAGTAGTCCTCAAAAAAAAATTCATAGTCCTCAAAAAAATATTCCTCACTGAGCCCTGGGAGCCACCGTAAAAATATGCAAGGGAATGCAAAAAAAAACAATTAACTAGTGACAATGAAGGTCTAGCAAGTATTTTATAATTTGAAACACAATATGGAATATGAGCAAGAAAAAGTATATATTTAAAAGTATTTGGTACGTGTTACTATGAAGGCACTGTAGAGAAAATGAGTGAGTGTCATGCATGCTATATGTTTTCTACATTATTCATAAGGGGATAGGGATGCATACATGTTGTGTATAAGTATGGCTAGTATTGGTTAAGTACAGGCAAACAGTAGGCGTATAGGTGGGGAACAACATTAGTAAATGAGGATAAATAGGACCAGTAGGTCAGCCAGAGATAATTTAATATGGACCATCAAGTACCATAGAACTAATTTTGGAATGCACTCTGCAATGCACAAGCATGTTGGGATACTGGAATGCTTACATAAGTACCAGGGCATATGTAGATTCATGTCCATTACGCAAAGCAACTCGCACGCACATATACTTAAAAGCTGGCATGCACAATACCTTTTGTTATTAGTAATTCACTGCCAGCCGAACTACACATTTTATATTTAAACAAGAGTGAGTAGGAGTTGTTGGGATTAACGAGACCAGTTATTTCTCCTTTGGCTGCACCTCTGTGTGACCATTTATTCATACACGCAGTGATTTTTCAGGCTGTCACATCATGAACCACTATTCCCACTGCTGCAATATACTCCCCAGTGTGAGTGCAATGTAACACCAACAGCAAACAATGCTCTGACATGACAAAGGTTTTTCTCAAAGCCCAAGCTAGTCAACAATCAAATCAAGAAAGTGTTTGAGTGATGTGCAGGGAAGTCATAACCTTTGATAAGCTCTGAGTGAAACCATTCATTGTAACATGTTTGATTTGGCAAACTCGTGAATAAGAGGGCGACTCATCACAGGGTTGGGGGTTCAATCCCTGGCTGCTGTCCACATGTCGTAGTGTCCATGGGCAAGACACTGTCCTTGTGCAAGTTGCTTGCAAGGCAGCGTTGTCATCATCTCTGTTTGTGTCCGTATGTGAATGGGTAAATGAGAGGCAAATTGTAATGCGTTGTCCAGAATGGCTGAACCCCCCACCCCCCCACCCCCCCACCCCAGCTTAATTTCTCCATTACTCTTGTGTTTGTTCATCACATTCCTGGTGGATGAAAATAGATATAGTTCAAGTTAGCTGCACTATCCTAAATCTAAAAACTGATGGACCTAAAGTTCGAGTGAAAAAATGAATTTCCCCACAGCAAAACGTGTGCCTAGGATGAGATATTTATATTGGCTCTATTATTATCAACACAGAATGTTTGACCTGACAGACTCTCTTTTATACTACAGTATGTCCTGTTCTGAAATGTTGGCTCATGCTGGTGCAACTCCAGGCTACACTCAAACATGCCCCCCTCTAATTGAATTAGTTTAGCCCCTGGAAAAGTCAAGCTGTGGGAGACTTTATCTTGGAGGAGAGCAAACACACAGAATAGACAGAAAGAAGAGAGAAACAGAAACTGCTTTGCAGCAAGGCAGCACATGAATTTCCTTTTTGTGTATAATGAGAAATTCTGGCTCTCATACTGTGGGTAATTCAATGAACAGAAAAGTAATTGCACTGCTTGATCAGGCCACACCGAGAGACATGGTCATGCTAGAACAAGCAAGAACAAAGAGAAAAGTGGCTAGATATGACTGAGTAAGAGGTAAACAGGGACGAGAACAAGAAAATACATAAAGAAAATTCATGAAGAATCAAAGGAAGAAGAGATAAGGGAGTAAATGGTGATTTCTAAAACAGGGTCTAGAGAGAGGGATTTCTGTGGAAAACATGATGAAGTAATAGTCATCTATTCTTCATTAGGCTGAAGTTTATTCCATCGATCACAGGCTGTTACAATCAAAATAGCGCTCTCCCAATAGCTTTGAATAAGATGATGTTTAGTTACTCATGGTATAACCAGTTATTGGAGATTTGGAGACATCTGAAATGTGAAAGCAGTGTCACATTTCAGATTCAGTCCTGGGAATAATGATGGTCCTCTTTCAGCAGCAAAGGTGGAAGTAGCGTGATGTCGGTGTACCGCCACAAA